TGAAGTGATTCTCAGTATTTACTCTGAATTTTATCAAATTGGAACACCACATTTTAGTTTGGAAGGCGTTTGAAGCTTTGTTAAATAAACGAATTCCGAAAGCAAGTTTCATGTGTCTCCGGTTTTAATGAAAATTTTCGGCAAACAAACATGTTTCGCTTCTAAAACGACTAATTTTATCTGAGAAGTATATACTTAAATAACATAAATGGGGAATGTCCTCTTTTATTAACCTAACCCCGTCAATGCTTTCCGTACATCAATTTTTCATCCTAGCAAAGGACTATAATTTAATATTTGCAGAGTGAGCGCTTTGCACAAGAGCTTTAGCCCAATACAAAGAAACATTATAAAGTCTTGTTCACAAAACAAACTTTGGAACACAACTTGTCGGATAAGTGTGACATTTCTAAAGCGCTGTGGAAAACATAAGCTCCGGAGATTCGCGATAAACAGAGGATAATTTTCCCGTGGACTGGACTGCATTGCGCTTCGCAAAAATCTTTTTAAACCCTGCCCAATAATTTGAGCTACGAAAAGCGTAAAGTATAGGGTTTAAACAAGAACTTGACGTGACTAGAAACTCAAACAAACGTAATAGCACTGAAAGGGTTTTTTCGTCGACGACTAGCTTTGAGCGATCTTGTAGCGCGATATACAAGATAAAGACTCCGTACGGCAAGTAACACACGTAAAACGCGGCTGTAACGCTGATTAAAAGTTTAGCGAGTCGTTTTTTGGTTTGATGATCACTACTTCCAGATGGCGCTCTCGAACACACGGTGTTCTTGAAAAACAAGCCACGAATTATTTGGAAATAACAATAAGCCAAGATCAGAAATGGTAAAAAACCAAGCAAAATGACCGTACAGATCACATGTTCCTTCAGCGAATTCGCGATTTGCAAGCTAAACGGGCAAACGCATCGGCCATATCGTTCACTGTACTTGTTCTGTGAAAAGGCTGGTAAACTTATTAAGATAGCTACGATCCATGTAATGCCGATAACATATTTAACTCGCTCGAGCGTCAGTCGAAGTTCGCTTTGCATTGGTTTCATAAGCGCATGGTATCTCTCTGTGGCGAGAATCGTCAGCGTTACTACAGAACTAGCGATAGCCACACTTATGATCGCATTGCCCGTGAAGATCTTGCAGATGTAGTCGCCCAGACTTCCAGTAGGATGGATGGGATAAAACGCGAAAGTGTAAGTCCTCGGGCACCATAGCAAAGTAATCACATCGCTCACAGCTAGGTTGACGAGAAGGAAGTTTGTCGTTGTATGCATGGATCTTGTTCTGTACACCACAATTATAACCAAACAATTCCCTATCAAACCAATGAATACGACAAAACCGTAAAGAACAGCAAATACAATATCCACCGTTTCTATGGAATATTTCGTGAAGTCTGGAACAGAGGAACTTTCATTGATAGCCATTTTGCCAGCGTCTTCAGCTGTGATATTTTCAGTGCTGCTTACTTCACACGCCAGTTCGATAGTGAAAGCAACCTCACTCTTTTCACGGCTTCCTAAAATTGACAGCGTAAAATAGGTAACCGAAGGAGACATATATCGACTTCATTGTAGTTTCATGGCAGCTGTGTTTGAATGGCGACCAAACAAAGCCTTGCTGTCGTAAGGGTGGTACACAATACTCGTACAATTAAAGAATACTTGAAGTGTTTGGCACGTTATTTAACTTTCACCTCAATACCAATTCTCCCAACTGCTGTCCATACGACTCTCATAAAAAAGTTGTGAGAATTAGGTAATACATGAAGACGATATCTAATCGCTGATGATTCTGTTCATTCTCGTTACGTGTCTGTTAGGACATTTACTGATTTTGTATGGAGAAACTAGATTTCAATTATTTTGTAAAGGAGAATTAGATTGTCGATCAATGTTGGAAATCAAACCAAAGTCAAGATGGCGGGTTTTCAATGTCTCCTCCCCCTATCTAATAACCAGTAACAAAAAATAATAATAAAAAAAGAATCACATTTTCACAACACTTGTTCAAGTCTATTCTGAAATCGCCAGAACAGATAGGTTTATGACGGGGATTGTCAATGTTCTACATTAAACTCGAGCTAATTTTAGGAGATTTCAGTGGAGAGATGTACCGCCAAACTCAAACAGTGCCTTCTTTACAAAAGTGAGCAATTAACCGCAAAAACCCGATGTCTTATCTCTCAGCCCGGGGTACAACACAAAAGCAGAAGTTACGAAATATTCAAGTTACCATCCAAACAGAACACTCCACCTGCTTTGGCCAAACAAAGCTGGATTCACCAAACTGTCTTCTTCAAGGCTAATATTAATTTCCAACGCAGCATAATACAAACAAGTTGTCGCACGATGAAAATTAAACAACAAAACTTGCATCTGTGCGATCGCACCAAGAGATTCTAATTGCCCTATTGTAAATATATATTATATTTCGAGGCGTGAAGACAGAGTCACCCAGTAAGTTAATTGTCATATCTTTATAACGAAGTCTT